GGGCCGAACCGGGCTGGCGACGCGCACCATTGGCTTGGTGCGGGAAGCTTGAGCGGGCCGGACCGGGCTGACGATGCGCACCCCTGGCTTGGTGCGTGGAGCAGGAACGGACCGGACCGGACCGGGCTGACGATGCGCACCCCTGGCTTAGTGCGTGGAGCAGCAACGGGCCGGGCCGGGCTGACGATAAGCACCCCTGGCTTGATGCGTGGAGCAGGAACGGGCTGGACCGGGCTGACGACTCGCACCCTTGGCTTGGTGCGAGTGACAGGAACAGGCCGGACCGGGCTGGCGACACGCACCATAGGCTTGGTGCGGGGAGCAGGAACAGGCCGGGCCGGGCTGGCGAAGCGCACCATAGGCTTGGTGCGGGGAGCAGGAACAGGCCGGGCCGAGCTGGCGACGCGCACCGTAGGCTTGGTGCGAGTGGCAGGAACAGGCCGGGCTGGGCTGGCGACGCGCACCATAGGCTTGGTGCGGAGAGCAGGAACAGGCCGGGCTGGGCTGGCGACGCGCACCGCAGGCTTGGTGCGAGGGGCAGGAACAGACCGGACCGTACTGGGGACACACACCACTGGCCCTACACTGGGATCTGGAACAGGCCGGACCGGACTGGTAACACACCCCAGTACCTCTCGCCGTGCCTCTACACCTTCCTTCCCTTCTTTGACCAGTGGCCCCCGTAACCTGAAGGCCTCCTCTGCCAACCCGCTGGACCGCTCTATCGCGGCCTCCTGCTGCCCCGACGTCCACGTCGTGAGCCCCCCCCTAAAAAAATTCTGTGGGTCTCTCTTCCCCGTGGGCCAGGCCTCTATAGTTCTCGCCCAACTCTCGCTCTTCTGCTTCCAACTCCAGCCATTCTGCTCCTCATTTGGCTTGACCCAGTCGAGACTCTTCCTCCACTGTTCCCAAGTCCACCCTCTCGGCTCTTCATTAGGCTTGACCCAGTCGAGGTTGCCACGGAGATCTGCTAGCGACTCCCCTGGCGATGGCTCCTGGACACGCTGCTTGGTCCAGTTTTGTTGGGATCTTCTGTCACGATCGTCGGGAATAGAGGAGGACCAAGGCGCAGCGTTGTAGGCAAACATACTCTTTATTTAGCGATTTTATACGACAAAATAAACAAACGATAACGTGACAGTTCACGGTCTAACACAAACCAACTAGAAACAAGATCCCACAACCACTGTGGGCAAACAGCTTGTTTAAATGTGGTTCCCAATCAGAGACAACCAGCCACAGCTGACACTCGTTGCCTCTGATTGAGAACCACACTGGCCAACATAGAAATGGAACACATAGAATACAAATGAAACTCACACCCTGGCTCAACATACAAGTGTCCCCAGAGCCAGGGCGTGACACAGAGCCCTGGAAAATGACCTCCAGCAGGCCACAAATGTGCATGTGTCTGCTCAAACGGTCAGAAACAGACTCCATGAAGGTGGTATGAGGGCCTGACGTCCACAGGTGGGGGTTGTGCTTACAGCCCAACACCGTGCAGGACGTTTGGCATTTGCCAGAGAACACCAAGATTGACAAATTCGGCACTGGCGCCCTGTGCTCTTCACAGATGAAAGCAGGTTCTCACTGAGCACATGTGACAGACGTGACAGAGTCTGGAGATGCCGTGGAGAACGTTCTGCTGCCTGCAACATCCTCCAGCATGACAGGTTTGGCGGTGGGTCAGTCATGGTGTGGGGTGGCATTTCTTTGGGGGGCCGCACAGCCCTCCATGTGCTCGCCAGAGGTAGCCTGACTGCCATTAGGTACCGAGATGAGATCCTCAGACCCCTTGTGAGACCATATGCTGGTGCGGTTGGCCCTGGGTTCCTCCTAATGCAAGACAATGCTAGACCTCATGTGGCTGGAGTGTGTCAGCAGTTCCTGCAAGAGGAAGGCATTAATGCTATGGACTGGCCCGCCCGTTCCCCAGACCTGAATCCAATTGAGCACATCTGGGACATCATGTCTCGCTCCATCCACCAACGCCACGTTGCACCACAGACTGTCCAGGAGTTGGCGGATGCTTTAGTCCAGGTCTGGGAGGAGATCCCTCAGGAGACCATCCGCCACCTCATCAGGAGCATGCCCAGGCGTTGTAGGGAGGTCATACAGGCACGTGGAGGCCACACACACTACTGAGCCTCATTTTGACTTGTTTTAAGGACATTACATCAAAGTTGGATCAGCCTGTAGTGTGGTTTTCCACTTTAATTTTGAGGGTGACTCCAAATCCAGACCTCCATGGGTTGATACATTTGATTTCCATTGATAATTTTTGTGTGATTTTGTTGTCAGCACATTCAACTATGTAAAGAAAAACGTATTTAATAAGATTATTTCATTCATTCAGATCTAGGATGTGTTATTTTAGTGTTCCCTTTATTTGTTTGAGCAGTGTATTTTAAGTAATATTCTCATTGTTCAGAGAATATTAAGAAACAACGTTCTTCTATGGAAATGTCAGAAAATCAGCATAACATTTCTTACAGGTTTATTCATGGTTCTATTTAAAGTAATATTCTCATTGTTCCGAGAATATTAAGAAACACCGTTCTTCTGTGGAAATGTCAGAATATCAGCGTAACATTTATTCATGGTTCTATTTAAAGTAATATTCTCATTGTTCCGAGAACATTAAGAAACAACGTTCTTCTGTGGAAATGTCCGAAAATCAGCATAACGTTTATTCATGGTTCTATTTAAAGTAATATTCTCATTGTTCCGAGAACATTAAGAAACAACGTTCTTCTGTGGAAATGTCAGAAAATCAGCATAAGAAAATCAGCATAACGTTTCATACAGGTTTATTCATGGTTCTATTTAAAGTAATATTCACATTGTTCCGAGAACATTAAACAACATTATTTTGTGTAAATGTCAGAAAATCAGCATAACGTTTCGTACAGGTTTATTAATGGTTCTATTTAAAGTAATATTCACATTGTTCCGAGAACATTAAGAAACAACGTTCTTCTGTGGAAATGTCAGAAAATCAGCGTAACGTTAATCATGGTTCTATTTAAAGTAATATTCTCATTGTTCCGAGAACATTAAACAACGTTCTTCTGTGGAAATGTCAGAAAATCAGTGTAACGTTTATTCATGGTTCTATTTAAAGTAATATTCTCATTTTTCTGAGAACATTAAGAAACAACGTTCTTCTGTGGAAATGTCAAAAAATCAGCGTAACGTTTCGTACAGGTTTATTCATGGTTCTATTTAAAGTAATATTCCCATTATTTCGAGAACATTAAGAAACAACATTCTTCTGTGGAAATGTCAGAAAATCAGCGTAACGTTTCGTACAGGTTTATTCATGGTTCTATTAAAAGTAATATTCTCATTGTTCCGAGAACATTAAGAAACAACGTTCTTCTGTGGAAATGTCAGAAAATCAGCGTAACGTTTATTCAAAGTTCTATTTAAAATAATATTCTCATTGTTCCAAGAACATTAAACAATGTTCTTCTGTGGAAATGTCAGAAAATCAGCGTAACGTTTATTCATGGTTCTATTTAAAGTAATATTCTCATTGTTCCGAGAACATTAAGAAACAACGTTCTTCTGTAGAAATGTCAGATAATCAGCGTAACGTTTCTAACAGGTTTATTCATGGTTCTATTTAAAGTAATATTCTCATTGTTCCGAGACATTAAGAAACAACGTTCTTCTGTGGGAATTTCAATACTTCCACATAAGTTACCATTTGGTTCTATTTAATGTAATACTTTTACTACATTTTGGGAAGTAAAAAAAAAAGTGACTTAAGCGATGTTCTCAGAACGTTCAGAGAATGTATGGGTCACTTATGTCAGATATTGGCAATATTCTGGGAATGTTCTAAAAATTGAATTCTACATATTAACATACATTAGCTCTAAATTCAGTTCTCAGAATATGAACTTTCCAGAAAAAGCACAAATCGTTTGTAACGTTCAGAAAACGTTCTAAGAATATATGTTTAAGAAAAACAACACATTCCTTTCTCAGCGTCAACAAAACTCTATCCTCTAGCTTGTTAAGTGTGTTCAGGTGTGTTGGCTGTGCCCACTAATTGGCCAAACCTGATCTTAATGAGTGCTTGTTTCCTTTGAAATGGGGTCTGTTTGAATAGACTAAAATGAACAGCTTTCCATGCTTAAAAATACATGGCATTCTAGCCCTGGTGACGGAGTGGACTAATTCCCGGGATAGAGAACAGAAGATCTTGGGTTCATGATTAATGTCTAAGCAAATGAATCTCCATGTGTCCTAGTGTATATGTTTTTGGAGTAAAAATACGTTAACCCAAAATAAGCTTGTGTTAAGTCTTATTGAAACATTCCGTGAAAGGTTAAGGAAGTTATTAAAAAACCTCAAAATAACCTTAAAATGTCATTCTTAAAGTGTTAAATGTTCAATAATAACCCTAACAAAACTTTCACAACATTTAGAGAAAATTCTCATAATGTTATTTAATTGCCTTCAAATAACCGATAATTTCCGTTCTCGGAGCATTAATAAAACTTTCAGGGAACCAGAGTAAATCTTTCTCAGAATCTCCCTGCAACCTAAAAATGTACGTTCCCAGAACAGACAAAATATTCATTTCTGTTGTCAGAACGTTTAAAATAACGTTGTTTTACCGGTCAGGAAACGTATGGCTTAGTCTCCCACAACCAATATGAAACCAAAAACATAAGTTCCCACAACTTCCAAGGAACCAAATGTGCTAGCTGGGAAGTGATTAATAAACCACATTTCCATCCACAGTTTTTATGCGAGTAAAGTCATACCGTGTAAGAAAAAAACCAATCACGCAGCTGTGATGGAAACAGGAAGTTTAGGTACAATTTTATAAATGCCGACAGATAATATGTTTGTTCGACATGGAGGGATCATTAAGTAAAATTAATTATGTGCTAAATCAAATCAAATTTTATTTGTCACATGCGCCGAATACAACAGGTGTAGCCCTTACTGTGAAACGCTTACTTATGCACCCTTAACCAGCAATGCAGAGTTTTTCAAAAGTAAGTAAGAAGAATATGCTCAATAAACGAAAGGAAAAATATTAACAAAATAAAATGACAACAACGAAGCTATATAAAAGGGTTACTGGTACCCAGTCAATGTGCAGGGGTAAGATATTCTTCAAATAGCCACCCTTTGCCTTGATGACAGTTTTGCACACTTTTGGCATTCTCTCAAGGCAGTGTTTCTTGTGGCCAGAGACATTAGCGTGGGGAGACTTAAAACCGTTCTACCTCACTTCTACCAACTTGTCTTCTGCGCCACAAGGTGCCCTAAAACTCTAAACCACTTTTATTATACGCACACAAGCAAATATTGTCTATTATATTGACAAGATAGTCAAGCCAATGACAGGGCAGATACACATGTGAACAACAGGCCATACAGATAGAGGACTCATCTTTGTATTTGTGCCATTATAGTGTCCGTGACAGCATGGGCAGTGCCATTGAAGCTCCATTTTAAAGTAGTCCATTTTCTTCTTCTTTATTGGCTGATTGCTCCCAACACTTAGGAATTCTTCATATGAAGAATACGGGAGATTGTTGTCACATGTAGCACACAGCCAGTACTTGCCAGAAATTCCTGCAGTTCCTTTAATGTTGCTGTAGGCCTCTTGGAAGTCTCCCTGACCAGTTTTCTTCTCGTCTTTTCATAACTTTTGGAGGGACGTCCAGTTCTTGGTAATGTCTCTGTTGTGCCGTATTTTCTCCACTTGATGATGACTGTCTTCACTGTGTTCCATGGTATATGTAATGCTTTGGAAATTATTTTGTACCCTTCTCCTGACTGATATCTTTCAACAATGAGATCCCTCTGATGCTTTGGAAGCTCTCTGCGGACCATGGCTTTTGCTCTGAGATGCAACTAAGAAAATGTCAGGAAAATCCTACTAGAACAGCTGAACTTTATTTGTGATTAATCAGAGTCACTTTAAATGATGGCAGGTGTGTAATGACTTCTATTTAACATGAGCTTGAATGTGATTGGTTAATTCTGAACACAGCCACATCCCCACTTATGCAACCAGGTTATTGTAAGGTTTTAATTTTTAATTTTTCCCCCTCAAAGATTTCAGTTTGTTTTTCAATTGATTTGTTCACATTATAGGTCACATTAACAGTGGATAAAGTTCTGACATGATTTATCTTTGTCTCATTCTTTTACATCACAAAAACCTGGCATTTTAACAGGGGTGTGCAGACGTTCTATATCCACTGTATTTTGTGAAGTGCACCAGTCCCTCCTGCAGCAAAGCACCCCCAAGGCATGATGCTGCCACCCCGGTGCTTCACGGTTGGGATGGTGTTCTTCGGCTTGCAAGCAACCCCCTTTTTCCTCCAAACATAACGATGGTCATTATGGCCAAACAGTTCTATTTTTGTTTCATCTGACCAGAGAACATTTCTCCAAAAAGTGCAATCTTCGTCCCCATGTGCAGTTGCAAACCATAGTCTGGATTTTTTATGCTGGTTTTGGAGCAGTGGCTTCCTCCTTGCTGAGCGGCCTTTCTGGTTAGGTCGACATAGGACTTTGGATTTTCCCATGATGTCAAGCAAAGAGGCACTGAGTTTGAAGGTAGGCCTTGAAATACATCCACAGGTACACCTCCAAATGACTCAAATGATGTCAATTAACCTATCAGGAGCTTCTAAAGCCATGACATAATTTTCTGGAATTTTCCAAGCTGTTTAAAGGCACAGTCAACTTAGTGTATGTAAACTTCTGACCCACTGGAATTGTGATACAGTGAATTATAAGTGAAATAATCTGTCTGTAAACAATTGTTAGAGAAATTACTTGTGTCATGCACAAAGTAGATGTCCTAACTGACTTGCCAAAACTATAGTTTGTTAACAAGACATTTGTGGAGTGGTTGAAAAACTAGTTTTAATGACTCCAACCTAACTGTATGTAAACTTCCGACTTCAACTGTACCTCTCTCCCAAATGTCCCACTGTGTCCCTTACAGCCTGTTTGAGTTCAGTGAGTACCACTCACTTTCACTGGTGGCTTATATATTTGTCTGCAGGAAGCTTATCTCTAACCCAAACACCAGATGGTGGCCTGTAATTCAATATCCAAGGCTCAATCCCTCTGTTCGTCATGTGACCTTGTATAGAAACCTCAGCATTTTTTTATGACTAAACTATGGCATTATTAGAGGGCTATCTGAAAGGCACTGATAACATATTACCATTCACATACTGTCAACACATAAAATTTGACATAAACTGATAGATCATGAGTACCATGAACCTTTCCACTTTACCTTCTTTATCAATGTCCTTGTCACTTTCACTAGTCTCCATATCTGTTTCCTTCAACTAGAACCCCTCTACTCTTCCCAATAGGAAAAACCCTTCTCAATCACTACTGCTAATACACACGGATCACTCTCAAACAATGTTCTGCTTTTACCCCTACTGTAAGGTTTAAAAACAAAAATGATAACTTTCTCCTTATTGGAAGGCATTGTTTTCATTTTAGTCTACCCTAACAATGTTACTCTACAGTGGGGAGAACAAGTATTTGATACACTGCCGATTTTGCAGGTTTTCCTACTTACAAAGCATGTTGAGGTCTGTACTGCATTTTATTGCATGACATAAGTATTTGATACATCAGAAAAGCAGAACGTAATATTTGGTACAGAAACCTTTGTTTGCAATTACAGAGATCATACATTTCCTGTAGGTCTTGACCAGGTTTGCACACACTGCCGCAGGGATTTTGGCCCACTCCTCCATACAGACCTTCTCCAGATCCTTCAGGTTTCGGGGCTGTCGCTGGGCAATACGGACTTTCAGCTCCCTCCAAAGATTTTCTATTGGGTTCAGGTCTGGAGACTGGCTAGGCCACTCCAGGACCTTGAGATGCTTCTTACGGAGCCACTCCTTAGTTGCCCTGGCTGTGTGTTTCGGGTCGTTGTCATGCTGGAAGAGTAATAGGGGTTTAATGGCACAGGCAGGGAGCCCAGCCAACAGCGAGTTGCAGTAATCCAGACGGGAGATGACAAGTGCCTGGATTAGGACCTGTGCCGCTTCCTGTGTAAGGCATGGTCGTACTCTCCGAATGTTGTAGAGCATGAACCTACAGGATCGGGTCACCGCCTTGATGTTAGCGGAGAACGACAGGGTGTTGTCCAGGGTCACGCCAAGGCTCTTCGCACTCTGGGAGGAGGACACAACGGAGTTGTCAACCGTGATGGCGAGATCATGGAACGGGCAGTCCTTCCCCGGGAGGAAGAGCAGCTCCGTCTTGCCGAGGTTCAGCTTGAGGTGGTGATCCGTCATCCACACTTATATGTCTGCCAGACATGCAGAGATGCGATTCGCCACCTGGTTATCAGAAGGGGGAAAGTCTACTTGTGTGCTGCTATAGCCCCTTGCTTTAGCTATTGTCATTGAGTTCGCTAAATATTTTCATAAAGAAACTGATAAAACACACAGGTGCTAAATCAAGGTGTCTTACAAAGATGAGGACCAAGAGCAAGAGAGGGAATGCGGTTATGTAGTGTCCACAACTAAAGAATCATTGTGGAATCTGAAAAGACACGTATCCCAAAAGCATGATGGTGTACTTACTACGTGCACATGCTAAAAGAAAGGATCAGGGTGGGTAGATAACTAAGTGTGTCATTGTAGCAAAGTATTTATCAACTTTCATTTTTGTTCTATTATCTATACAATAGGCCATAATTGATTTTGGCCCAATATGCCTGGAATATTCCCCACATTCAAGGAGCTTTCCGTTTTGACTGGGTTATTTAGCCTAAAAACCTTTATGCCTATATATAGAACACATTTTTTTAAACAACTCTGCATCTCTGCCCAGCCTGGCAAGAAAGGGCCAAAAGGGGGTTTAGCATCCCCAGTCGCTCTGCAAGAGTGGAGAGGATATTCTCTGCTGCTGGCCTGCTCTCAAGGCACCATCGCGTGAACCTGAAGCCACAGACTGGCCAAACTCGTGTTTCTAAAAATGAATTCAAAAGGCACTAATAAGTCATTTCTCGTTTAATTTGTATTTAATTCTAAGTAAGACACAGCCTAGATGTGCAATGTATAGACTAATGATTTAATACAACAAAATGTTGTTTAAATGCTGAGTACGTTATGTCCCTACCAACCTATTGTGTCGCACTCGCAAATGCTTCACAATGTATTTCTTTGTAGGCTATAGTCTTGAAATAATATAGCCTAAATAATTCATTTTTGTTCCTTCTTAGGCTCCCTGTCTGGCTCCTGACCTATTTATAGTGTTTATGTGCTGTTTAATATGACATTTAGCCTATTTGAAATTAAGTGCACCTTACATTCACCTTTTCATGTTTATTCAAATACTTTTCATTGAAATCCATATGGTTCGGTTTCAATACTTAAAACCCAATTGGTAGGTCCAGGTAGTCATAAAAATAGATGGGTGTTGGTTAAATTGTGATTTTAATAAATCCCCCCGCACAGTCCCCGCAGCAGGACAATTTTCTCAAGGCTTCTGGAAAGAAATGCTTTCGGCATTCTCAACCGGTGTCGTTCATTCAGCCGACAGAAACGTTCAACCTGTTCTCCCCATAAGCAACGAGTCAGAGTCAGAGGCTGAGCCTTCTCAGGTCTCTACTCCACCCGTTACGGGGTCTAATATTGCGGGTAATGGAGTCACCATAGCCTCCCACCATCAGCTCTGACAAATTGAAAACCCTAGTCATTGGCGACTCCATTACCCGCAATATTAGACTTAAAAAGAATTATCCAGCGATTATACACTGTTTACCAGGGGGCAGGGCTAATCTGAAGATGGTGCTGGCTGAGACTAAAACTGGCGAGTTTAGATGGTTCAGGGATATCGTTATCCACGTCGGCACCAACGATGTTAGGATGAAACAGTCAGAGGTCACCAAGCGTAACATAACTTCAGCGTGTAACTTAGCTAGAAAGAGGTGTTGGCATCGAGTAATTGTCTCTGGCCCCCTCACAGTTAGGGGGAGTGATGAGCTCTACAGCAGACTCGCACAACTCAATCGCTGGTTGAAAACTGTTTTCTGCCCCTCCCAAAAGATAGAATTTGTAGGTAACTGGCCCTCTTTCTGGGACTCCCCCACCTACAGGTCCAAGCCTGGCCTGCTGAGGAGTGACAGACTCCATCCAAGCTGGAGGGGTGCTCTCATCTTATCTATCAACATAGACAGGGCTCTAACTCCTCTAGCTAGGTGCCAGGCAGCAGGCTTTTAACCAGCCTGCCAGTTTAGTGGAGTCTGCCACCAGCACAGTCAGTGGAGTCAGCTCAGCTTTCCCTATTGAGACAGTGTCTGTGCCTCAAACTAGGTTGGGCAAACTAAACATGGCGGTGTTCGCCTTAGCAATCTCACTGGAATAAAGACCTCCTCCATTCCTGTCATTATTGAAAGAGATTGTGATAATCTCACATCTCAAAATGAAGCTACTTAATGTTAGATCCCTCACTTCCAAGGCAGTCATAGTCAATGAACTAATCACTGATCATAACCTTGACTTGGGTTTTGTCCAACATGTCTCCGTACCTACGCATTGCCAGAGTCATACACTGGATCTGGTATTGTCCCGTGGAATGAATATTGTGGATCTAAATGTTTTTCGTCATAATGCTGGACTATCGGACCACCATCTTATTACGTTTGCAATCGCAACAAATAATCTGCTCAGACCCCAACCAAGGATTATCAAAGATTCCTAGATGCCCTTCCAGACTCCATCCACCTACCCAAGGACGTCGGAGTATAAAAATAACTGAGAATCTACATTTAACCTTGCGTAATACCCTAGATGCAGTCGCACCCCTAAAAACAAAAAACATTTGTCACAAGAAATTAGTTCCCTGGTATACAGAAAATACCCGAGCCCTGAAGCAAGGTTCCAGAATATTTAAATGGAATGGCGCTCAACCAAACTGGAAGTCTTCCAACTAGCTTGGAAAGGCTGTACCTAATTTTCCAATCTAATTGAGGAGAATAAGAACAATCCTAAATGTATTTTTTATACTGTCGCAAAGCTAACTAAAAGCAGCATTACCCAAGAGAGGATGGCTTTCACTTCAGCAGTGATGAATTCATGAACTTCTTTGACGAAAAGATCATGATCATTAGAAAGCAAATTATGGACTCCTCTTTGAATCTGCGTATTTCTCCAAAGCTCAATGGAGACAGTTTTTTAAATCCTATATCTCTTGACACATTCATGAAAATAGTCATGGCCTCTAAACCTTCCAGCTGCATACTGGACCCTATTTCAACTAAACTACTGAAAGAGCTACTTCCTGTGTTTGGCCCTCCTATGTTGAACATAATAAAATGGCTCCCTAGAAAAAGCCAAACTTTGCCCTTGAAAATGTAAAAAACTAAATCGACCTATATCGAATCTCCCATTCCTCTAAAAAAAAATTAAAAAGCTGTTGCGCAGCAACTCACTACCTTCCTGAAGACTAATGTATATGAAACACTTCAGTCTGGGTTTCGACCCAATCATAGCACTGAGACTGCACTCGTGAAGGTGGTAAATTACCTTTTAATGGTGTCACACCAAGGCCTCGTGCTCTTGGACCTTAGTGCTGCTTTTGATACCATCGATCACCACATTCTTTTGGAGAGAATGGAAACCCTAATTGGTCTACACAGACAAGTTCTTGTCTGGTTTAGATCTTATCTGTCGGAAAGATATCAGTTCGTGTCTGTGGATGGTTTGTCCTCTGACAAATCAATTGTAAGTTTCGGTGTTCACCAAGGTTCCGTTTTAGGACCACCATTGTTTTCACTATATATTCTACCTCTTGGTGATGTCATTCGGAAACACAATCTTAACTTTCACTGCTATGGAGACGACACACAGCTGTACATTTCGATGAAACATGGTGAAGCCCAAAAATTGCCTACCCTGGAAGCCTGTGTTTCAGACATAAGGAAGTGGATGGTGGCAAATGTTTTACTTTTAAACTCGAACCAAACAGAGATGCTAGTTCTATGTCCCAAGAAACAAAGAGATCTGTTGTTTGATCTGACGATTAACCTTGATGGTTGTATAGTCGTCTCAAATAAAACTGAAGGACATCAGCATTACTCTGGAACCTGATCTCTCTTTTGACAAACATATCAATAATATTTCAAGGGCAGCTTTCTTTCACCTTCGTAACATTGCAAAAATCTGAAACCTTCTGTCCAAAAATGATGCAGAAAAACTAATCCATGCTTTTGTCATTTCTAGATTAGACTACTGCAATGCTCTACTCTCTGGCTACCCGGATAAAGCACTAAATAAACTTCAGTTAGTGCTAAGTACGGCTGCTAGAATCTTGACTAGAACCCCAACATTTGATCATATTACTCCAGTGCTTGCCTCTCTACACTGGCTTCCTGTTAAGGCTAGGGCTGATTTGAAGGTTCTACTGCTAACCTACAAAGCATTACATGGACTTGCTCCTACCTATCTCTCCGATTTGGTCCTGCCATACATAGCAACACATACGCTATGGTCACAAGACACAGGCCTCCTTATTGTCACTTGAATTTCTAAGCAAACAGCTGAATGCAGGGCTTTCTCCTATAGAGCTCCATTTCTATGAAATGGTCTGCCAATATGTGAGAGATGCAGACTTGGTCTCGACCTTTAAGTCTTTACTGAAGTCTCATCTCTTCAGTAGGTCCTATGATTGAGTGTAGTCTGGTCCAGGGCTGCGAAAGTGAACGGCAAGGCACTGGAATGACGAACCGCCCTTGCTTTCTCTGCCTGGCCGGCTCCCCTCTCTCCACTGGCTTACTAGTCACTGGCTTACTAGTGCTCTTCCATGCCGTCCCTAGGAGGGGTGCATTACGTCGTGCCAGGCTTTATTGCGATATACTCGACTTTAGTGGGTTAAGTCACTGACGTAATCTTCCTGTCTGGTCTTGCGCCCCCTCGGGCTCGTGCGGTAGAGGAGATCTTTGTGGGCTTTGAGTGCTGCCACCGCCTGTGCGCAAAGTGCCTGGCCAAGATCTTAGACCTGGCGAGTCGCCCCCCCAACGCCGTGGTGTGCCCGTTTTGTCGCTCATTCACTGGTTTGCCGGGGGAGGCGGTTGCCAGCTTCCCGGATGACTGCAACCTAGTGGTGGTGCTGGCCCTCCAGACCCGGAACCAGAGGAACCTGAACTACCACCATGAGGGCTCCACTGAGCTGCTGCTCAGTCCCAGGTGCCTGAGCTCGCTCATGGGCAACCCTCCCTGTGGCACACCTTCCACCACCACCACCCACACCTACTTGCCCAACTACATGGTCATCACCATCATGGAACCGCCTTCGCCTTCATCTCCCCAGGAACGCCACCCTCAATCCCACCCCCCCGGAGTTGCCACCATCCAGGGTAGGGACTACAGCTCGTCCAGCCTGTACACCATGGCCTCAATCCCCCAGAGGTGAGCAGTGTGGAACTGCACCACCCTCCTGTGTCAGACATCAGCCCGGGCACTCGTGTGGGTGTTGGGGCTCCTCTACTTCAGTTCCTTGCCCATGGGGGTCTACCTGCTCATCATGCATTCTGGTAAGCCTGGTCCCAGAAAGCTTCATCATGATCATGGTCTATGGTTTGTCAGTGCCTCTGTCACGAGTTCTGGGACTGCATGCCGCCGTAGCAACCAAAGTACGACCATCCGAGGGGGTTAAGAAAGGATCGCAGAATGTTACATTTTCCCGAATGGGATTGTTACTACTGACAATGGATATTGCCATCCTGGATAGAGAATATTTTGTTGTTTTATTCTTGTTTCTCAAATGGTGTGGGAGATTGTATATAAGAGGAGAGCAGGTACAAGAGATGTACATTTTAGTTCAATGTTAAGTTTTGGCATTTTCCGTTCTAGTAATGTATTGCCATTTGTGTATTGCATCAAAAACAAAACGGTCCACCAAATATTAGAAGTCGCAGTAAGTATCTTGTATGCTTTTGTAACCAGAAAAAATAAGAATGTTTTGTTTGTTTGAGGTATTAACAATATATCTATGTGGCCATAATTGGCACAGTAGAAATGTATGCATTTTGTTTTGAAAGCACTTAGAGGGAGGAGGAATGGTCTTACAAAACTTAAGTCTTGGCAAATTTGTGTAAATAATAATTTGTTACAAAGGGTGTGGATCATGTGGAGAACACCAAGAATATGTGAGTTAAAATAAAACATAACCTCCACCATAAATGTATCTACTATCGTCGTTGAAAATTGTTTCTAAAATGTAAAGTTGATTTGACTGATGCATATATTGTCACGCCCTGGCTCTGGGACTCTGTTATGTTGAGCCAGGGTGTGTTGTTTCTTTGTGTTTTGTGTGTGCTAGGGTGATATTCTAGTTCATTTGTTTCTATGTTGGCCGGTGTGGTTCTCAATCAGAGGCAGCGTGAATCAGCTGTTGCTTGTTGTCTCTGATTGGGAACCATACTTAGGCAGCCTGTTTTCCACAGTGTGTTGTGGGATCTTGTTCCGTTTGGTTTGTGTAACCGTAGGACTGCACGTTTCATATCGTTTGTTGTTTTGTTCTTATCACGCTGCGCATTGGTCCACTTCTTCTCAAGACGATTGTGACAGAAGATCCTACCTTAACTGGACCAAGCAGCGTGTCCAGGAGCCAACGCCAGATAGGACTCTAACGAACATCAACCTCGACTGGGTCAAGCCGCGGGAGGAGGAGAGAGGCTGGACTTGGGAGCAGAGGAGCAAGAGTCTGGCGAGAGCCATGGAGGCCTGGCCCACAGGGAGGAGAGACGCCCAGAACATTTTTAGGGGGGGGGCTCACGCCGTGGACGACGGGGCAGCAGGAGGCCGCCAGGTTACGGGAGTCACTGGTCACCAGGGGGAAGGAGGATGTAGAGGCACGGCGAGAGGTACTGGGGTGTGTTGCCAGTCCGGTCCGGCCCGTTCCTGATCCCCGCGTAGGGCCAGTGGTGTGTGTCCCCAGTACGGTCCAGCTTGTTCCTGTCCCTCGCACCGAGCCTGTGGTGCGCGTCGCCAGCCCGGTCCGGCATTTTCCTGCCCCTCGCACCAAGCCAGTGGTGCGCTTCGTCAGCCCGGTTCGGCCCGTCCCTGCTCCCCGCACCAAGCCAATGGTGCGCGTCGTCAGCCCGGTCCGGCCTGTTCCTGCTCCCCGCACCAAGCCAATGGTGCGCGTCGTCAGCCCGGTCCGGCCCGTCCCTGCTCCCCGCACCAAGCCTGTAGTGCGCGTCGTCAGTCCGGCACAGCCCGTGCCTGTTCCACCGGTGCCTGGTCCGGCACCGGTCAGCTGCTCCACTCCGGAGTTAGAGCAATCCGCTCCACCAGTGTTCAGTCCAGCTCCGGCCAGCAGGGCCAGACCGGACCAGGGGTGCTTTGGGGGGTTAGAGAGGGAGTGGGGGTCATGCCCGGAGCCGGAACCGCCTCCGAGGAGGAATGCCCACCCGACCCTCCCCTGTTCGGTTTATGTTTGGCGCGGTCGCAGTCCGCGCCTTTGGGGGGGGGGGTACTGTCACGCCCTGGCTCTGGGACTCTGTTATGTTGAGCCAGGGTGTGTTGTTTCTTTGTGTTTTGTGTGCTAGGGTGATATTCTAGTTCATTTGTTTCTATGTTGGCCGGTGTGGTTCTCAATCAGAGGCAACGTGAATCAGCTGTTGCTTGTTGTCTCTGATTGGGAACCATACTTAGGCAGCCTGTTTTCCACAGTGTGTTGTGGGATCTTGTTCCGTTTGGTTTGTGTAACCGTAGGACTGCACGTTTCGTATCGTTTGTTGTTTTGTTCTGGAATAAAAGAAGTATGTTCACTTATCACGCTGCGCATTGGTCCACTTCTTCTCAAGACGATCGTGACATATATCATCTTCAGAATGTGGAGAGCAGAGTAAATGGATGCTTCTCATTCACAATTGGGTGAAAGTTATGACTGAATAAAAACTGGAAAATGACAAATTTACCATGGCAGTTAGGCTTGTGTTCATTAGAGCACATAACAGAAAATGTTTTGAAAGGTTTCAGATTGGAAAACAAAAATGTGCATTTCTTATTGGACAATTCCAGATAGTCCTTCCGTTTCAGTCCGTTTTCTTTCATTTGGTCCCTTATGAACACAACAATGGGTCATATTTATTAGGGCACACCAGGCGCAACACATTTTGCAACAGAATACAAAAATGAGTGTGGTGCCTAATGAACACGGCCCAGGTGTTATGAATATCCCCCTTTGTTCTAATAATCTCAATATCTTAATGAGTTTTGTGCTCATTTTGAAGGACGGAGATGTGGATTAGATATGCTACCAACAAAACTAGATTCACATAGATACTGTATCTTTATAGAATTATTCTGTAACAGCAAAGACTAGCTATCCTCAGCAAGAAATGCTACAGATTTCTCAAATAGCATAACACATCTCACATTGTTTTATATAAAACCCCATTGCTTTCTTCTTATTACTTACTTTTTAAATCCTAATGGGGTCATTCAAAAGTTAACCTGTACTGCAGCACAGTAAAAAAAAAATAGATTGAGAAAAAACGTTTATATAAAACTTTCAACGACATGTTTGCAAGTGTATGTGTGAACAATCAAAAGCTTCATCTATTTTAATCAATGTAGGCTACAGAAGTAGGTTTTTACAGTCATTGTCATCTTACTGTATGTTGCCACCATGTAGCCACTGTTTTGATTTTGTGTTGCAAAATTAAAAAGAATAATGATTGGTCATCATCCACAGCTTTGACAGATGTACAGTATCTCTTCATTAAATGGATAACATTTGGTAAAATGTGGGGGTTGGTTAGTTTGTTGATGGACTCTGATGCAAACCAATTTTGATTGCATGAATACAGCGTACTGAGACCATAGATCATATGATACAGCATCATTGTAGCGTGCAGGCACTAAACATGACTTTCTGGAAACAACATACAGTGGGGGAAAAAAGTATTTAGTCAGCCACCAATTGTGCAAGTTCTCCCACTTAAAAAGATGAGAGAGGCCTGTAATTTTCATCATAGGTACACGTCAACTATGACAGACAAAATGAGAAAAAAAATCCAGAAAATCACATTGTAGGATTTTTATGAATTTATTTGCAAATTATGGTGGAAAATAAGTATTTGGTCAATAACAAAAGTTTCTCAATACTTTGTTATATACCCTTTGTTGGCAATGCCACAGGTCAAACGTTTTCTGTAAGTCTTCACAAGGTTTTCACACACTGTTGCTGGTATTTTGGCCCATTCCTCCATGCAGATCTCCTCTAGAGCAGTGATGTTTTGGGGCTGTCGCTGGGCAACACGGACTTTCAACTCCCTCCAAAGATTTTCTATGGGGTTGAGATCTGGAGACTGGCTAGGCCACTCCAGGACCTTGAAATGCTTCTTACGAAGCCACTCCTTCGTTGCCCGGGTGGTGTGTTTGGGATCATTGTCATGCTGAAAGACCCAGCCACATTTCATCTTCAATGCCCTTGCTGATGGAAGGAGGTTTTCACTCAAAATCTCACGATACATGGCCCCATTCATTCTTTCCTTTACACGGATCAGTCGTCCTGGTCCCTTTGCAGAAAAACAGCCCCAAAGCATGATGTTTCCACCCCAATGCTTCACAGTAGGTATGGTGTTCTTTGGATGCAACTCAGCATTCTTTGTCCTCCAAACACGACGAGTTGAGTTTTTACCAAAAAGTTCTATTTTGGTTTCATCCGACCATATGACATTCTCCCAATCCTCTTCTGGATCATCCAAATGCACTCTAGCAAACTTCAGACGGGCCTGGACATGTACTGGCTTAAGCAGGGGGACACGTCTGGCACTGCAGGATTTGAGTCCCTGATAGGCGTAGTGTGTTACTGATGGTAGGCTTTGTTACTTTGGTCCCAGCTCTCTGCAGGTCATTCACTAGGTCCCCCCGTGTGGTTCTGGGATTTTTGCTCACCGTTCTTGTGATAATTTTGACCCCACGGGGTGAGATCTTGCGTGGAGCCCCAGATCGAGGGAGATTATCAGTGGTCTTGTATGTCTTCCATTTCCTAATAATTGCTCCCACAGTTGATTTCTTCAAACCAAGCTGCTTACCTATTGCAGATTCAGTCTTCCCAGCCTGGTGCAGGTCTACAATTTTGTTTCTGGTGTCCTTTGACAGCTCTTTGGTCTTGGCCATAGTGGAGTTTGGAGTGTGACTGTTTGAGGTTGTGGACAGGTGTCTTTTATACTGATAACAAGTTCAAACAGGTGGCATTAATACAGGTAACGAGTGGAGGACAGAGGAGCCTCTTAAAGAAGAAGTTACAGGTCTGTGAGAGCCAGAAATCTTGCTTGTTTGTAGGTGACCAAATACTTATTTTCCACCATAATTTGCAAATAAATTCATTAAAAATCCTACAATGTGATTTTCTGGAAGAAAAAAATCTCAATTTGTCTGTCATAGTTGACGTGTACC